AAGTTCCTCGAAATATTATTCGTGACATGGTTATGAATGAAAATCAAGACAAGTTCGCCACTGTAAAAGGTAATTCTTTTAGAACTGGCTTTTAGGTTACAGTAAGGCTGTCTGTTGCATATGTCGACACACACCTCAGTCAGAAAAGTATAATTTACTTTGTACTTAAAAAAGTACAATTTTTCAATAGATTATTATTAATCGTCGTCGAGTTTTGCAGGTGGGTATGTTGCTGTAGCGAGTTGTGCTGAAATGTGGAGGCGTCTTGTAATTGATTTTGTTCTTGTTCACTAGGTGAACGTCTTAAGGCATGTGGGATTAAAATTGTTTGTGCATTTTGGTTATTCTCAAACACCGGTTGAATTTGTACCTGGTGATTTTGCTCATAGCAACTTGTGTATCCATTTGCTTGGTACTGTTGCTGAAAAACTGGTGGGCCATATCAACAAATACAGGGCATTTATATCAACTGTCATATACTCATTCACATTTCTGATTGGAAACTAATTGTTGATAGTTCTTATTTTCATCACTTTCATAACTTATTCTATAATCTAACTGTTTACTAAGATTTGTATTACTATTACGATTTGACACCATTGTTTTATCAATTGTAAAAACAAGGAATAAAAAAACATGTGAGTATGTATATGAGTGATTCTGATAAAAATAGTACTGTTCATGTTCAAAAATTTGACCAAAAGTAAAAGCAAAGGCTTGAGCAATTGAATATCATATGTCGATAGCGGGTATCTAGTAGTACCAGAAAAAGCAAGTTTGCAAGCTACCACTTTTCTGTGTCCTGGATTTTCAAAATGCCGTGGATTTTGAATGCACGGAGATAAGATCTCTTCTGTTGATTTTCATGTATAAATAATTGGGACTACTCTAAACGTATATAATTATAGATTACAAAGTATTCTCTATCTACCGGCATACTCAGAAAGAATTCACAAAACTTTCAGTATTGCTAGTTGTCTGAAAATCGTGGACTTCCATAAACCCTTTTTTCACCCATTTGAAAGCTGCATATACACATCCATAAACTCTTCACATTGTAAAACCTTGATACTAAAAATTTGGCTTTGTTCACGCGTGTTACATTAAAATTACAAAAAAAACCCAAAAGAAAACAGTTACGGGACAAAGGTGATTACGGGACATTCCTTAGTATTTTCTAGTTTACTCCCTTATGAAGCAATTTCAGTCTTTGTCCTTTTTAGAGGATCATCATGTGATTAGATGACACTTATGATAAAAAAAGAAACTTTTTTGTCATGTTCGGTTGAGGCGTGCTGTAGTGGGTGGTTACGGGACAAATTGTTGGTCAAACCTCACCGAGCATTAGTAAAGCATGAATTGCGGGGTAGCGAAAAGTGACAAAAACATCCAGTTTTCGCAGTTATCTATTCTACATATTTAGTCAACTTTTGGCATAAGGAAAACGAATACTAAATAACTTATCAGGGCTACCCAAAACAATGTGGTTACGGGACAAAAAAAGTTGAATTTTGGAACCATGAATTCTGAACAAATTTGAGAAAAAATTCGAAATACTGGGAACAAAATAATGGTGTAGCTGAATAGAGCGAAGAAAATTCTAGACAAGAAAAAGAAAAAAATATTATTCCGTACAAAGTAACAGAGAAAAATAACATTTACAAACGCCGACTCATATGAACCACAAGAGAGTCAACAGCAAAATAACGATTAGATATGGATGTTTTGCTTCGAACTCGTTAAGAGCTAAAAATAGAAAAGCTATATTTGCAGCGATTATACGTCTGACATTGAGGAGTATATGCGAGAAATGCGAAATTGTTTTCAGCTAGTCTAAAAGGAGAAACGCTTAGAACCATTTACGTCAGTTGAACGGTACTATTTTTATTAGGATCACTCATAGGTATAGTGATATACACACTCGCAGAGATAAAAGAACTAAACGCAAAGTACGTCCGTTCACGATAGTAAAAATTGAATTACTGAGAAAAACATAAGATTGTATAGACGTGTAGTCACAGCAAAATAAAATAGTTCTTTTTCCAACGCAGTAGTAAAAGGAATTTTTATATCTGTGTAGTAAAAGTTTATAGGCTTCTTTGATTTCAAGTCTCTTATCTCTTCCAATAAAAAATTTATTATCTTTGATTTAGTGTTTGCATCTATTTTTTTATCCAAAGCAAACTGTGTCATAATTTTTAATATCTCGCAAGCTTTTTATAGCACTTCCACTTTTTAAAGACTTTGATAAGTCATCAATGAATTCAATATATATAAATTCAGAAACCAAATCCAATAGGCATTCACACATGAGCAATGAAAATATTGTATCATCAAAGCCTTTGAAGTTCTTCATTCTTTGTATTAACCATTTATTTAGATTTTCCATCATATCAGTCTTGATAGAGATATCATTTAACAAATCTAATATTTTTTGATTTAAATCTTCTGAAGCATAAAAGTTACATGAGAATATATGATGACTCTCCGCATAATCCATTTTAAGAAGATCCTCAACTGTGACAGTCTTGTGGTTAATTACTTTTGATTCTAGAATTCCAAGGTACGTTTCGCCATTAATATCTGAAGAACCACAAAGTTCATCAATAACAAACTCTATAATATCCAAATCTTTACTTTGGAAATATAATTTTTTTTTAAACCGACTTGTATCTGTAACTGATAAGGCTTTTGCAAAATCCTTTCAGTTTTCTTCCGTAATTTGACCAAGGCGAACTAATCTCGTTGTTGAATGAAGCAGTTCTTCCAGATAAGATGGATATGATGGCAATTGTAATGACCGCATTATTGAATTCCAAGTAACATCGTTTAGAGGTCAGTTTATGAAAATAGCAGACTTTGAAAACAAATTAAAAAATAATATTGGTGGATTTTATTCTATTAAAACATTATTTTCAACATCATTGGATTCAGACTTGGCAAAAATTTATACATCAGCAGACAAGTTAGATGAAGAAGGACTCTTCTTTGAAATTGATATTGATACTACCCCAAGCAAAAACGACCCAATTTTTTGGGTTATTTATCTAGATTCAACTCCACGTACATCTAGATGCACGTGGAACTGAATCTAGATAAATAACACAAAAAATTGGGTCGTTTTTGCTTGGGATACAATAATAACAAATAGTACTTTTGCTAATATTACTCAATTAAGTCATTATGAAGTATGAGACAGGGAAGTGTTGTTTTCAATGGGTACCGTATTTAGAATAAAACCAGTTGGAAAAAATATAGATGATCGATTATGGCATGTAAAATTATCATTAACAAATGATGAAGATCGAAATCTTAAACTATTCACTAATCAGTTAAGATATCTGCTTCAAATCGGTTGTAGCAATCATTTATTTAGTATAGGAATGATGTTAACTTATCTCGGAGAAGTTAATAAAGCGGAAATATTTTTGGAAAAACTTCTGAATACTACGACAATGATCATAAAATAAGTTACTCAGTAATGTTTATATGACTCTGGCATCAATCAGCGCAAACAAATTAGATTATAGAAAAGCATTTGGTTATTTCCAAGATCTACTTCATCTAATTAAAAATGATATACCAATGAATAAAAAAACGTCACTACGTCATTCCGCCAGGACTTATATATGGATAGGTACTCTTTATTACGAAAAAGGCGATACAGAGCTAGCGTTAGAAAACTATTCTACAGCATTAAATATATATTCACTCAATCCTGTTGAAGGCATATTGGAGTTTGCTGACAGTATTAGACAGATTGGATCGATGTGTCATACGTTAAAAGCTCACAAATTAGCATTAGAGTTCTATGATTTTGCAATTCGTTTCCATAACGTCGTCACCATTTCATTCACTAGAATTAAAGAACTCTAGATATTAAAAATATTGAATTATGTAACTTAGGTCAGTATAGCGATGCATTGCAGTATTTAAAACAAAATCTTGAGCTTTTACTTAGTATATTCCCAGAATGTCATCATACTGTTGCTAATTATTATCCTTGTATGGGGCAATGTTTATATCAATTAAATAATTTACAAGAAAGTTTAACATATTTTGAAAAAGCTGATCAAACTGATCGAAAATTATCTATTTTACCAGAAGAAAATGCTTATATGTCAATTGATATCCAATCAGTTAATATGATAAATGAAAATCACGAAAATGCCATTTTTTCATTGTTAAATTTATTAGAAATTCAGCTCAATTCTCAATCACCAAATCCATTTATTCTATCAAATTTATGTAGTCAAATCGATCAACGTTACATTATAGTCTTGTCATCTATTGTTTTCTTGAAAATGAAAATTGTATTTTCGAAACGTCTGGAATTAAAAATAGCTGCTGTTATTATCTCTACAGTTTTAAAATTTTTACCCGTTAATAAGCGTAACATGCGTATACTTTTTGTCTACCGAATGAGTTTTTAACTAGTTAAAAACCGGTGTTAGGATATCTGGGAGAATTGCTATACGTCCGTTATCAAGATTCGCTCAGAGCTGCAGAACGTCACATTTGGTAGAAAAACGTTTGTTCTACAAAATGTATATGTTAAAAAAATTCCAAAGCTATTTCTAACAAAACTTGGAGTATTCTGAAATGCACTAAATCACGAAAAAGAAACTATTCGAACATACAAACATTTTTTGTGATGTGGTGCATTCTAGAACACTCTAAGTTTTGTTAGAAATAACTTCTTATTTTAATGAAGGTAGGTGGGGCCGTCCTTTTTCGTCCTCGGTCTTCCGAACATCCGACCAAGTGACGGCATGCTCGGAATTGGATCTATATAGCATAAAATCGTTTTATTGGATGTTCGGGATGAGGCGTCGGGGTGTTTGGAATCGAAAGTATGGATGTTCGTAACAAAAAGTGAGGGATGTTTGAAACGAGTTTCGGTGTCTGTTTTTTAAGATACAAAAGGACGTATTCATAGAGTATATCCTATGTTATTGAGTATAGCGACCTCTCCTTCTATACTCAGTTAAAGTTTTTAAAGTAGTACAGAGTACAGGAGTAAGTGGTAGACCTTACAAATAGTTGGCGTGAGTAAGTGCTTAAAACAGATATTCCTCTGTTGTGTTGAGCCTGGCATCTCGAACGCGGTTTGCTGGGACGGTAATCCGCATAACACAATGAATTGGTTTTCTGGTTCACGTAACGGTCATCGGCCTGGCCAGCTAACTCTACCTGCGTACGTAATTCCGTGACGTTTTTCTATGATTTTGTTTTATTTGCAGAAATTTTTGAAAAAGTCAGAACTCAAAAGTAAATAAACCATTTT